TTTTTTTTTTTTCATTACCTTAAATCAAACCTTGGAACTTCATGAAGGTATTTGGTTTGGGAAATTGCATCTAAACATAAAAATAAACATATTTGTCCGTGACATTCTTTTATCCTCGTACCAAATTCACAAGCACGTCTTTACACATTTTAAACCAAGACAACTAATGATAATGATAGACATCACAAAACTTCAACTTTGGTACTTCATAAACAGTATCAGACATGTAGGACTTCTAGCCCGTTTAGTTCAAGATCCTTTAAAACAGTAATTTTGATTCTGAATTCTAATTTTGTGAGAGAATATTAACTATTTTTTTTATTCAAATTTATTGTGAGAGGAACTTCCTTCATATTTCCTAGATATGCCTAATTGAATTGAGCCATAAAAGGGTAATAAAGAACAAGATTTAAGTAACAATTAGGCAATCCTGTAATATTGCTCGTGATCTTGATATTATCAAGGCATTAAACTTTATCGCAGAAGTATGATATAATCCTAATTCCTACAAAACAAACAAAAAATTCAAAGCATTTTAAGCATGAAGCACGGAAGAAACTAGAGTAAAAAGAGAAAAAAAAAAAAAAAAAACCCAAGAGCAAGTAAATGAACTGATGATCCAAGAAACAACACAAAGCACTGAATTCGTAAAAACAAAAAATCCGAACTTTTGTTCAAAATGACAGCAAAATTGCAAAATTCCTCCCTAAAATCCAAACAAAGACAGAGAAAACTCCCTTAAAAGCAAGGGAAATTTCATATTAACCTATCGAACAACACAAAATATATGAAAAGAAAGAAGAACGACGCCAAATTCTCTCTTTCTCTCTCTTCAACGATAGGATTTCTGGAACCTAGCTCTAGCACCGCGACCGCCGAACTTCTTCGGCTCGCAGCGGCGAGGATCGGCAACGAGGAGAGTCCGGTCGTACCTTACGAGGATGTCCTTGATCTCCTTCTTGCTCTGCTCGTCGACGTACTTCTGGTAGAAGGCGACGAGGGCCTTGGCGATGCTCTGGCGGATGGCGTAGATTTGGGAGGTGTGTCCGCCGCCCTTGACGCGGATCCTCATATCGACGCCGGCGAAACGGTGGCGTCCGAGGAGGAGGATCGGCTCGAACGCCTTGAAGCGGAGGATCTCCGGCTCCACTAGCTCGATCGGACAGCCGTTGATCTTGATCAGGCCGCGGCCGCGCTTGCAGTAGGTCACCGCCACCGCCGTCTTCTTCCGGCCGAAGCATTGGACGGACTCTGTCGGAGCGGCCGCCATGGTTGGGTCTCGTCTAGGGTTTTGGTGGGGGAGAGGAGAGAGAGAGATTGGGTTATTAATCAAGAGGTTAGGGCTTTTGGATGGATGGACGGCTGTGATGGGGTTTCGTCTGGTGAGAGAGTGAGATTGGTTTTCGCCTTACGATGGGCCAATTTGACGTAGACTCTTTTCGGCCTTTAAAGTGGTAGCCCAGAACATTGGGCTTTTGAATGACCCAAATAAGAAGTTTTGAGAAAATTTGAGGACTGCAAAATTAAAAAGAAAAAACGGAAATAGTAGAAAATAGATCAATATAAAAAGTTTAAGAAAGTATATAAGTTAACTTTTAGTTATAAAAATTAATAGATCATAATCAGATAAGTTATGGTTCATAATCAGATAAGTTATGAATAAATTTATCAAGCTATGGTTCATAACCAGACAAGTTATGGACAAAAACTGTGATTTATGGAC